GAGGTTGCTGTGAGCTGTGATCCCACAGCACTCTACCAAGGGTGACAAAGTGAGACTCTGTCTCTAAAATAAATACATAAATAAATAAAAATATAAAATAGAACAAAGATGAAAAGACTACCTTGCACAAAGAGCCAAGTATATTTGTAAAAAAGCTTATTTTCTCTAGTAATTTGTATTAGTATATAACTAAACATTTAAATCTATTTAGCACGAGTTTTGACTAAAAGAAAGTGTACAAATACTGTTTTTTTTTTTGAGACAAGAGTCTTACTATGTTGCCCGTGGTACAGTGCTTTTAAGTCACAGCTCACAGCAACCTCAAACTCTTGGGCTTAAGGGATTCTTTTGCCTCAGCCTCCCAAGTAGCTGGGACTACAGGCACCCTCCACAGCGCCTATTTTATTTTTTGCTTTTTTGTTTAGCAGGTCCTACCTGGTTCAAACCCACCAGCCCATGTGTCTGTGGCCGGCCCCTAACTACTAAGCTACAGGTGCTGAGCCTGCAAATATGATTTTTTAAACTGCTTGTGACTCTAAAGCACCTTTTAACAACAATCCAAAACAAATAGTGACTTTCACTTCATTTTTTTATTCTGAGATGCAATTACTGACCTTGGTGCCATTTTCCCTAAGTCACTGATGTACTCCAAAAATCTAAACTTGATCGATACTCAATATAATCCATAGGTGGAAAAAAAGCTGAACTTGGCATTCTACACAATCAACCTGCTCAGTAGCAATGTATTTCCTAACACTTAATATATGCTCAGACATACAGCTGTTACTTGAGTTTAAGTAACAGTCAAACACTTCTTTAATGCATTTCAATAGACACTATTATGAAAGGCATATTTTACGTAGAAAATTTGTCTTTCTAATCACTTTGAATATATGGGAAACAGCCAGCTTAATACACATATAGTTTAAAATAAGGATCTAGTTCACAGGATAAACTAGTATGTACTTCCTATCCTAAAGTCTCATGGTTGGAAGGAACTGTGATCTAGTTCAACCCCTTACCAAATACAATAATTCCTTCCTTCCAATATACCTTGGAATCAAACCCATACCTGGTTGAAAAGCCCTCACTGATAGTACTAAAATCTTCTAAAACTGGGTCCTTGCTATTAATCAGATTACTAACACAATTTCTCTATAGTCCTTGAAAGGCATAGTTTATACATTATTCTCATTAGGCTTGAAAACACAGGTTTAGAAAAGAAGTGACATTTTCTTATCACTGGAGATTTCAGTAGCCCAAACTGTCCAAATATACTGATACATTGAATGACAGAGTACTTGGCAAGCTTCTGGAATTTGCTTAAAGCACCAAAATCAGCTAATCAAAGCAGTAGTAATAATAGCTGTCAACTCAAACTAAGTTTTCAATTTATCAAGTTCACACTCTGAACATAAAAAAGTCTTGTTAACATCTTTAAAGCTGAAGTTAGACTGACTTTACCTAAAAATCACTCACTGCAACTCTACAATGATACTATGTATTGGGGCAATAGATACGTGTACATATAATTCTTTACTCTTTCATTTTGAGATACATTAGCTCCTCTCTCTTTTTTTTAATTTTTAGCTCACGCATCTGGAAACCGACACTAGCTTCTCCACTCGTAAAACGTCTAACCCTCACTTCCATATGCCTTTCTGTACCTCACCAGCTGGAATCTGTCACAAAAACAGATAATCACATATGATACAGAAATAGTTGGTCCTGAGGCAGAATTAGGTTAACAGTTCTAAAATGAGGCATACGAAAAGACCGGGGGAAAAAAAAGATTCAAGCCCTACTTAAATAAATCATTTACCTCGATCTGGCTTCATCTTCACATCCAATTTCCACCCAGAATGCTGTGAAATACACGTGTGGGTTCCTTCAACAGACTCGCCGCTGATTCTAAGTCTGCTTCTTCGTTTTCAAAATGCTAAAAGAAATCACAATAAAATTAATCAGGTCCTGCCCTAAAACCTGGACCTCGTAAGAAAACTGTTGAGTTAGGCCTCTTCCTGGCACTAACTGCGGTGACAGTACCATTGGCTAATCTGGGGGGGAGGGGGCGGAGAACCAAAAGTCTCTCAGCACCTTGGGACCGAGCACCCTCCTCCCTGCCTCTGTGCTCTTCAGGCCAATGTGTCCTTCTCTGAACCAAAGCAAGATCTATTTATAACCTGGACGTACAGGGAAGAAGATAGAGTCAAGCAACACAAGCTAACTAATCCCTTCAGGGGGGAAAAAAAAACCCAAACCAAAAACGCCTCTGGGCACGGTGGCCCGGCGGCGACGGCATAGAAATTCCTCCACCTGTGAGCCGGGGCGCAGGAAACTCCTCCAGCCTCCCCAGCGCTCCACCCGCCCCTCAGGGCCTCACCTGTGTGATTAGCCTCTGGCTAGCCTTCCTGCGGCAACCGCGGCCAAGTTTACTCAGAAACCCGAGTCACCTCGGGCCCTGCCCCCATCCCCAAACGAACTCTCCGGGGCTGTCCCGGGTCGACCCTACCAACTAACTCCCAGCGCTACGGGCCCGGCCCGAGTCGGGCCCCGAGGAAGGTGTTCAGCGCAGGGGACTCGGCCCCGCTCTGTGCAGCCGGCCCGCGGAGCGCCCCTTCCGTCCCGCCGCGGCCCCGGATTTCCTTCAGCCCCGCCGCCCCGAGCGCCGCGCCTGCCCCTCTCCCCTCCGGAGAGTTGTTTTCATGGCTCCCTCGGCCGACCTCTGCTGACTAACTCGCTTTCCTCTCCGGTCCCAATCCCTCCTCCTCCTGGCACTTCGCTCGGCCGCTCGCCCAGCTGCTCACATCACACTCCCACCTCAGACCCGAGGCTCCGATAGGCGGAAGGCCGGCCAGAGCCGAGTGTGGCGCGCAGCGGCCCCCGGGGCTGCGTTAGGGGACCATGGGGGCCCGACACGACAAGCCCGACGCGGCTCCCCGGCGCCCCTGTGGCCATCCACCCCCGCCTCGCTCTGCTCCCGGAGCTCAGCCCTGGGCCCTGCCCGACTCGCACCCGAGCCCCGCGGCCCCCGGGCTCCGCCCGCCAGTCGCCCCGGCCGGCCCGCTTGCCCCGCGCCTCTGCCAGCTCCTCGCCCGCCCGCTGTCTCTAGCTCTGGCGCCCCAGCTCCCGTTCCCCCTAGCTCGCCCAGTTCTTTCTCTGCAGTTTGCCCTGTCAAAACACTGCCTGGGTCACGTGTCCCAACAACAGCCAACCCACCGCTCGTCACTTCCTCCTCTGCTGCCGGACCGACCCGGGCGCCGGGTTGTTATGGCAACGCCGCCGCGCGTCCCGGGGCACTAGTTTGGAGCCGAGTTTTCAGTGCAGGTGCCCGGCGGCGCGATCGCGCGGGAGACGGCCGCGGGGAGGAGTTGGCGGGGCCCCGGGGGTCCGGAGGGCGCCGGGGGCTTGGTCAACGCTCTCGCAGCCGGCCGAGGCGCGCTTCTCAGACCGGGAATCGGAGTTGGGCTGTTAGAACACCTGGAACTGGGAGATGTCGTCCGAGGGCCTGCCCTAGACGTGGAGGGTAATTATAGTCTCCTCCTCCACGCGGGATGCCGGCGCTGGAATGTGCTCCAGTCCCAAGTGGATTGTAGCGCTTGGCGGGTTGCCGGTGACCGGGAAAGAAAGGGGGGCAGCCACACGCGTCAGGGAGTCGGACGTTTAAGAACTGGAAACCCTCCTCACCCTAGATTTCCCCCAATCACTAGGGATTTGGGTAGGATTCGGAACTCAAGCTAACAAGGCACTGGCTGTGCTAAAAATAACTTTTATAACTTCTAAAACACTGACTCATGGGCAGGAGGACACTTTGGACAACATGTTATTGTTAGGGAGGTGTAATTTTTTTGTTGTGTTATACAATGTGACATGACGACATTTCGTGTTGTGATGTTATCATTACTTTTACAGATGACAAGAATCTGTTGTTCAAAAAAAAAAAAAAAGGCTAACAAGAGCTGCAGTTATTAGCTACTCAGTATATGGACAAAGTACTTATGGGTACGAGCCCAAGTGGATATAAAGAGAAGTACAAAATTTGCAAAGTTCTATGGTTTCATTAGAAAAAGTATTTTTTTAGAAATAATTTTGCATACAAGAATCACAACAGGAAAGAAAGCACTAAGCCAAGTCAAAAAGACATTACTCCGGCTCGGCGCCTGTAGCACAGTGATTACAGTGCCAGCCACATACAGTGAGAGTGGCGGGTTCGAACCTGCCCAGGCCAGCTAAACAACAATGACAACTGCAACAAAAAAATAGCCGGGTGTTCTGGCAGGCGCCTGTAGTCCCTGCTATTTCGGAGGCTGAGGCAAGAGAATTGCCTAAGCCAAAAAAAAAAAAAAAAAGAAAGAAAGAAAAGAAAGAAAGAAAAAAAAATTTGTACGAAAGTGCAAGATTGGCTAGGTGCTTGTAATTCAGCGGTTAGGACGTCTGCCAGCCACATCCACTGGAGCTGGCGGGTTCAAACCGGCTGGGCCTGCCAAACAACAATGACAACTACAACCAAAAAATAGCCAGGCGTTGTGGCAGGCGCCTGTAGTCCCAGATACTTGGGAGGCTTGAACTCAAGAGTTTGAGCTTGCTGTGAGCTAAGATGCCACAGCAATCTACCCAGAGTGACCAAATGAGACTGTCTCAAAAAAAAATCAGAATGAGTGTTGTATTTGTGGTTCTACCTTTAACTTTTTCGTTCTTTTTCTTCTTCTTCTTCTTTTTTTTTTTTTTTTTTTGATACATAGTCTCACTTAGTCGCCCCTGGTAGAGCGCCCTAGCTGCTGAGCTACAGGCACCTAGCAGCTTTTATTAGAAACAATCTTACTGGCTCGGCGCCAGCCACATTCACCAGAACTTGTTGCGGGTTCGAATTCAGCCCGGGCTCTACCGAGGATAACATAGTGACACTCTGTCTCCAAAAAAAAAAATGTGCAAGATTGGGGGCCAGAGGCGTGGCTCACGCCTGTACTCCTAGCACTCTGGGAGGCAGAGTTGAGCCGACTGCCTGAGCTCGCAGGTTCAGACTAAAAATAGCCGCGCATCGTGGCGTGCACCTGTGGTCCTGGCGTCTCTGCAGGCTGAAGCAAGAGAATCGCTTGAGCCCAAGACTTAGAAGTTGCTGTGAGCTGTGACATTACAGCTCTTTACTGAGAGCGACAAAGTGAGACTTTGTCTCAAACAAACAAAAACAACAGAAACGTGCAAGATTGGCAATTGCATTTTTTGGCCTCAGATAAAGTTTTTTATTTTTATTTTTTGTAGAGACAGTCTCACTTTATCGCCCTCTGTAGTGGCGTCACAGCTCATAGCAACCTCCAACTCCTGGGCTTAGACGATTTTCTTGCCTCAGCCTCCCGAGTAGCTGGGACTACCTACAGTTGCCGGCCACAACACCCGGCTATTTTTTTGTTGCAGTTTGGCCGGAGCCGGATGTGAACCCGCCACCCTCTTATATAGGGCTGGCGCCTGACCCACTGAGCCACAGGCACCACCCAAAATTTTGTTTTTTTTTTTTTTTTTTTTTTTTTTTGAGACAAGCGTCTCACTATGTCACCCTCAGTAGAGGGCTGTGGCATCACAGCTCACAGCAACCTCAAACTCTTGGGCTTAATTGATTCTTTTGCCTCAGCCTCCTAAGCAGCTGGGACTACAGGCGCCTGCCACAATGCCCGCCTATTTTTTTTGTTGTTGTAGTTGTCTTTGTCGTTTAGCAGGCCCCGGTTCGAACACACCAGCCTCGGTGTATGTGGCCTGCGTCCCAACCACTTAGCTACCAGCGCCAAGCCTCAGATAAAATTCTTATGAAAAAAGACTAATATGGCCAGGTCAGGTGGTTTATGCCTGTAATCGGAGCATTCCGGGTGGTAGAGGTGGAAGGATCCCTTGAGCTCAGGAGTTTAAGACCAGCCTCAGCAAGAGTCAGAACCACCTCTCTACTACAAATAGAAAAATTCTTAGAAAAGATGTCCCCAAGGCCAGCATCTTGCTGCACGACTGTAGTCCTAGCTACTTAGGATGCTGAGGGAGGAGGATTGCTTGAACCCAGGAATTTGAAGCTGCTGTGATATGAACTAAGCTGACGCCATGGCACTCTAGCCTGGGGCAACAGAGGGAGACTCTCGTCTCAAAAAAAAAAAAAAAGTATTGGGCGGCGCCTATGGCTTAATGGGTCTTAATGGGTAGGGCGCCTGCCCCATATAACGAGGGTAGTGGGTTCAAACCTGCCCGGGCCGAACTGCCGCAAAAAAATAGCCGGATGTGGCGGGCGCCTATAGTCCCAGCTTCTCCAGAGGCTGAGGCAGGAGAATCGCCCAAGCCCAGGAGTTGGAGGTTGCTGTGAGCTGTAATGCCACATCACTCTACTGAGGGCGATAAAGTGAGACTGTTTCTAAATAAATGAAGCAATATTTTTTCCGTTTTGGATATGTACATTAAAATAGCATGCATAAATGCAATAATTAACTCCAGGATTGTGTCTAATCAGAACAGGGCCGAACATTCAGGAGGGTAACATTTCATTTCTACTGCAGTGTTTGAGCATCATAAAGATGAAACTTGTGACAAATGCCAACAGGTCTGTAATCTATAAAATGGCTACAAATGTTAACTCCAGGTGGTTTGACTTTCATGTTATTGAATACTGTATTATGTAGTTGTTTTTTTCTTTTTAATGAACAGAAATTTTACTCTACAATCACTTCTCAATTAACCTTGGCAATGGGAGACAGAACAGCCACAGATAATCCAAAATGCTAAATTTAGCACAACAGCTGGGACCAAATAACAGCTATTGTAAAAGGATTCCTTGGTGAATAAGCAGCAGGATCTGTGGTTTAACTCCTCTCCTTCCACCTCATTTGCAAGAAGTGTAAAGACCAGAAAAATACTGGGAGCAGAAGCTAAGAATTTTGAATAATCTAGGGCATAAACTATTCTCTTTAACATAATTATGTTTTAACAGCACATTGGGTAAATGTTGATGTCTGGATATTTGTTAGACTAACCTGAAACTTTGTATTGGGATTCTTAAAACTTAAAACATTTGAAATTACGGCAGCGGAAAAGTATTTTTAAGTAGTGTGTTTCTCACTCACTCAAACTGTACTATTCACGAAACACGCAACTACTCCCTGCTAGGTATATACATACTCTGAGATCATGAAGGTCATCAAAACCAGAGGTTCACTACTCTCCTGGAGCCTACCATACCATTATAGTTGGATGGTCATGATCAATTCACATTTTACAGCATTAGTTTCACCTATAAAAACGACATATTTAGACTCTGACTAGATTATCTCATTCCTAATTCTAAAAATCCCTTTAGTGGGTGCCTGGGGCTCAGTGGGTGAGACACCAGCCCTATATACTGAGGGTGGCGGGTTCGAACCCAGCCCCAGCCAAACTGCACAACAACAAAAATCTCTTTATTGTATAAGACATGTTCACAGTGGTCAGAAATAGGGACCTAAAATGGCAACTGAGAGGGCATATAATCCTAGCACTTGGGAGGCTGAGTCTATAGGCTCGGGTCTATAATCCTAGCACTTTGGGAGGCTGAGGTAGGAGGATTATTTGAGACCAAGAGTTAAAGATCAGCCTGAGCAAGAGCAAGACCCTGTCTCTAAAACAAACAAACAAACAAAAAAGTAGTCCCAGTCGAAGGGTTGAGCCTAGGAGTTTGAGGTTGCATTGAGCTATGATTATGCCACTGCACTCTAGCCCAGAAGACAGACTAAGACCCTGTCTCAAAAATAAAATAGGCTCGGCGCCTGTGGCTCAAGTGGCTAAGGCTCCAGCCACATACACCTAAGGTGGCGGGTTCGAATCCCCAGCCCGGGCCCGCCAAACAACAATGATGGCTGCAACCAAAAAATGGCC